GCCGCTCTGTGTGTGTGGAACCTCTGTTCCCGCGGCAGGGGGGGGCGGGGAGCAAACTCTGCCCTGGCCGCAGTGTGTGGGCAGCACGGAGGTCCCCCGTGCCCACCTCGGGGTGATGGGGCACAGGGGGTCACTGCGCTGCCTCCTGCCCCTCCGCCCGCACCCTGTCTCCGGAGAAGCACTGTGCGGGCACTCTCAGGCCCCCAGAGCTGGAGCACACAGTACCCCGGGAGTCTCTGGCAAGGCAGAGACACACAGTGTCTCTGGGAAGGCAGAGAATTAGTGTCCAGTTGTTAAGGGTCTCGGTGAGGGGCTGCCAAAGGAACGGGTTTGGTGTTAGAGCTTTTGCTCGGCTGGTGGAGAGGTCGGGCAGCAGCACTGCTGCTGCAGCAGGAGACGTGTCATGTTTCCGACTGCAGTGGGTTCACCCCCGCCCGCAGCTGCATGCTGCCACTCGCTCGCTCCTCCGTGCGATGGGGAGAGAATCAAAAAGGTGAAAATGAGGAACAACTCGTGGGTTGAGATAAAGACAGTTTAATAGGTATAGCGAAAGCCGCACACACATGCACAGCATGCACAGCAAACCGAGGGATTCATTCACCGCTTCCCACGGGCAGGCGGGTGTTCAGCCGTCCCCAGGAGAGCTCCATCGCGCGTAACGGGGACTTGGGGAGGCAAACGCCATCACTCCAAACGTCCCTGCTTCCCTTCTTCTCCCCCAGGTTCATATCCTGAGCGTGACGTCACACGGTGTGGAATGTCCCTTTGGTCGGTCAGGCAGGCTGTCCCGGCTGTGTCCCCTCCCCAGTCCCTGGGCAACCCCCAGCCCGTGGCTGGTGGGGCACTGTGAGGAGCAGAAAAGGCTTCGCCTGCTCAGCAACAACCAAACCCGCCCCTGCGCGGTCACATTATTCCCACCCCAGATTCAAAACGTGGCACTGCACCACTATAGACAGGGTGTGCGTGCGCCCCCAGCACCGTCGGGGACGTGGGGGCTCCCCTCAAACAGCCACGGGAACACAGGCACCCTTCCGCGCCACCACCGGTGGCGATGCGCCTACGCACCCACCCAGTTGTGGGGTGCAGTACACCTCTCTGTACCCCCACCCACAGCGGTGTGGGGCGCTGTGACACCCCCAGCTGCAGGGATGCGGCTGCCCCTCCTGCCCCCTCTGCCTGGGGGATGTGGGTGCCCCCCTGCACCCTCTACAGGGATGCGTGTGCCCCCCCGGTGACCCACTCATGGGGATATGGGTGCCCCCCATGTGTGTATTCCTCTATCACTGTTATTGTTTTCCTCTTTCCTTCGCTGCGCTGTGAAACTGCCTTCACCTCAACCCACAACTTCAGCCTCTTTCTCCCAATCCTTCCCCCATCCCGCCGCGGCGGTGCGTGAAGCAAGCGACAGATGCCCTGGTCCTTTGTTGCCGGTTGGGGCTGAACCACGACAGTCCTTTTTGGTGCCCAATGTGGGGCGCAGAGGGTTGAGATAACAGACCAACAACAGCGCTGACTCTCCATCCGCAGTGACTTCCGAGAAGGCCCATGGCCGCAGGCAGCCGGCCGGGCTCCAGGGCAAGGTGGAGGCTGCAGAAACCCCCCTGGCCAGGAGGGACAGGGGGGTCTGGCAGCTCCCACCTTGCGCCCGCAGCTCCCATGGCGAGGGGCGGTGGGCCAGGATGAGCCGCGAGCCCCAGGGCAGAAGTTTCAGGGGTGCCGGTCAGTGGAGGCGGCCACAGGCTGGAGGTGCCGTGGGTCCGCTGGTGAGCCAGTGGAATCCTCTTGTCCCTAAACTGCTTCTCACAGCCGCCCCAAGGAAAGGGCTTGGCCTTCGCTCGTCCTCACACCGGGGATGGACCACCTTCCGGCACCACCGGCGGGTCCTGGTGCATCGCCACATGGCGATTCAGGTGATGCTTCTGGCTGTAGCACTTGCCGCACTCGCCACACTTGTAGGGCTTCTCACCGGTGTGGACCCGCTGGTGGCTGGTGAGGTTGTGCTTGTCTCTGAAGGTCCTGGGGCAGTGGGTACAGGCGAAGGGACGCTCCCCGGTGTGGACATGCTGGTGTTTGGAGAGGGTCTGCTTGTCTCTGAAGGCCTTGGGGCAATGGGCGCAGGCGAAGGGGCGCTCCCCGGTGTGGGAGCGCTGGTGGATGGTGAGGGCCTGCTTCTGTTTGAAGGTCTTGGGGCAGTGGGCACATGCAAAGGGACGTTCCCCGGTGTGGACCCACTGATGGATGGTGAGGCCCTTCTTGTCCCTGAAGGCCTTGGGGCAGTGGGCGCAGGCGAAGGGGCGCTCCCCGGTGTGGAGCCGCTGGTGGATGACGAGGGCCTTCTTCTCCCTAAAGACCTTGGCGCAGTGGTCGCAGGCGAAGGGGCGCTCCCCGGTGGTGCAAGGAAAGGAGCGCTCCCTGGTGTGGACTCGCTGCTGGGTGGTGAGGGACTTCTTCTCCTTGAAGGCCATGGGGCAGTGGGTACAGGTGAAGGGGCGCTCCTCAGTGTGGACTTTCCGGTGGATGGTGAAGGTCTTCTTGTCCTTGAAGGCCATGGGGCAGCGGGTACAGGTGACGGGGTGCTCCCTGGTGTGGATGGTCTTGCTGGATGGTGAGGGTCATCTGGTTCTTGAAGGCCTTGGGGCAGTGGGTGCAGGCAAAGGAGCACTCCTCAGTGTGGACCCGCTGGTGGCTGGTGAGGGTCTTCTTGTCCTTGAAGGCCATGGGACAGTGGGCGCAGGCGAAGGGGCGCTCCACAGTGTGGACCCGCTGGTGGACAGCAAGGGATGTCTTGCGCCTGAAGGCCTTGGGGCAATGGGCGCATGCGAAGGGGCGCTCCCCGGTGTGGATGCTCTGGTGGATGTCAAAGGTCATCTGGCTTCTGAAGACCTTGGGGCAGTGGGCACAGGCAAAATGGTGCTCCCCAGTGTAGACCCGCTGGTGGCTGGTGAGGGTCTTCTTGTCCCTGAAGGCCATGGGACAGCGGGCACAGGCGAAGGGGCGCTCCCCGGTGTGGACCCGCTGGTGGACAGTGAGGGACGTCTTGCGACTGAAGGCTTTGGGGCAATGGGCGCATGCGAAGGGGCGCTCCCCGGTGTGGATGCGCTGGTGGCTGACTAGGTGGTACTTCTGCCTGAACCGGTGGCCGCAGTGGCCACAGGCAAAGGGCTTCTCACCCGTGTGCACTCGCCAATGGATCAGCAGGTTATGCTTGTGAGCAAAGTGCTTTCCACAGTCGGGGCAGTTGAAGGCCTTCTCCCGACTGTGCGCCTTCTGGTGCGTCATCAGGAACTTCTTCAGCCGAAAGCGGCGGCCACACTGCCAGCAGGAGAAGGGCCACGCGGCCGTGTGTGTCTCTTGGTGCTTCTTCAGGTCCTGCATCTTACTGAAGCTCATTCCACACTCGGCGCAGGCGTGGGGGCTCTTGGGGGGAAGGGGGCTGCAGGGAGGCCAGGATGGCAGCACCTTGCCCGGGGTGCCTCCCCGCTGCCTCCTGCCCCGCTTGGGCATCCCCAGGACCGGGGTGGTGGGGTCTGGCAGCCCCTCGGTGACACCCCCATCCTCCCTCTGCCTCCGGACATCACCGCCTGCTGGGGAGGAGACGTCAGCGTCACTGGTGGGGACGGGACGGGCAGGTGGGAGCCCTCCCCATGGGGAGTGAGATGGGCATCCCAACAGCCCCCCACCCTTCCTGGGGCACCAAGGATCTGGTGCCAAGGGGACGGTGCTGCTTCAGTCCCCCAAAACCCCCTTCTAGTACCCACCAGGCTCAGGGCTGCGGTGCCTCTGCTGCGCCCCGGGGGGGGCTGGCACGCACGGCATCTCTCCTCCCTCCATCTTGCAGATGATCTCGGGCTTGATGGTGCACCAGCCTGGCCAGGGGAGAGAGAGGAACCTTCTCCCGCACTGCCGGGACCGACAGTGGCACCGGATCCCCCGTGCCCACGGCCCAGCATCTCCCCCAGCTCCGCTCCTCTCTCCTGCCCCTACCCGGCCATGGCTTTGGCCCCCACTTCCCTGATCCCACAAACCCCTCTCCCCTCGCTCTCGGCCCCTCGGCCGCTCTCCTGCAGACAGAACACCGGGAATGGCTCAGAGCTGGCGGCTGGGTGAGATGGTCCTTGTAGGTCCCTCCTACTAATACTCTATCCTTCCCCATCCCCATCCCCACCCC